TGAAATATTTAAAGCTTAGGAATACTATTGTATGAGAACCAAAACAATATGGAAATGAATGAGGGAAAACTGGATCCTACCACGTGATTCCACGTGAAGTCGCATAAGAAGTATAACTTCAAAAAAATGCCTTATATGCATAACATGGCCTACAATGGCTGTATGTTTTAACAAGTGGACTCTGTTAAAAATGCTACAACTGGCCGATGTCTAGTTAAAAGATTTCTAAAATGCTCCGCTAGATAAAAATTTTGCTGTATGCCCATCGATATAAAGCTGGGTGGGTTTAAACGCGGTTCTTCACAATGAATGTTTAGAGCCTTAAGCACTGAGCTGCTGCGGTTTTTTGGTTTTTACATTCCCATGTAAATTATTTCTTTTTAAATTTGATTACTTAAATCTATGATAAAGTTTTGGTGTTACAAGTGCTATTGGTAACAAACGGGTAACAAGCAACCTTAAAATACCTCTTTTTGTCAACAAATAGTTGTGCCAAGACTAATGCCGCAATGATACGAACGGTTCAAACGAAGAGATTTATAGATTTCATCAATCTTTTTTTCCTACTTTCGAAGTATTAAATTTTATGATAACTTACGAATTTATTTCGATTTTTATCTTTAATAATGAGATTACCAATAATTCTCGAAATTTTCCAGTTTTGCGTGAAAAAAAACTATTGCAAGTAGCGAAATAATCAGTGGAGATGCATAGTAAATTGTTATTGCAGATTAAATTGTTTATGTAGATTAAATGACAGTTAAACATCAGTTTGGTTGCAAGTGTAAAAACCTTATTTATTTTAGTTGTTTCCTTATGTTAAAACTGGTATGTAAAAGAAGTTCTCCATATGAGTTTGCGGTGAAAATCAGAGTAACGTGTGTAAATTTATTAAAAAAAATATAGCTGCTTTGACCAGGAATTTTTGTTCTTATTTATTTTAAAATTATAAGTGTATACCCGCTGTGAAACTCTCATTATATGTAATCATGAAGTAATAATACGTTGTTCAATTTTGATGAAACATTATCATGCTGCAATCATACGTTGTTAAATTTTCACTTCGGAAAATATTTATAAACCAGCAATTGTTTTTAGTTTTTTTACTGATATAACATCTTGGGTTTTGCTTTCTAGCGATATTTTTTTTAAAAATAAAAACTGTTAGCTTTTCAACAAATATTTTTCTATGAAGCTCCATTATTTTCCAAATTAAAAATTTTTCACATAGATTTCCTTATCTTTTTCTTTCTCTAATTCTTTTCCCATTCTTTGTTTGTCAAAAAAATCACCCATTGTATACACAGCAAATACCATACAATTGAGTAAATTAACTAAATTACATATAAACTCCAGACAGTTATTAAACTTAGACAGGTATTATGATCATTATACATTTTTCAATGTATTAAGTACAAATATTTAAAAAAAATCATACAAGACTGCAGCTTTCCACGTTTGTAATACAATTAAGATTCTATGTTGAAAACTTCTTGTAACAATTCAAAAAATTTGCAAAGGTGCAATCACAACTGAATGAATGATGTTCATTCGTGAATTATTTTTCTAGTTTATAATGATTGCTCAGTTAAATAAATTTTTATCTATATTTCATTGTACATGAGTGTTATATTTTTCAACAGGTTCCTCCAAATATATCACGCATCAACAGTCATTTTGTGCACACCCACCAACCTCTAGATGTTGTTCAGCATCCACCAGTCAGGGAGTCTGTCATATTTTTTACACTACCACCGGGTGATTTTGTGATCATGCCATTTACAGCTCAGCCAAATTGTGAAACAAAGTTCTTACTCAGAATATTTACTGATGAAATGAGTAACATTTGGTAAAACTATTCATATTTATTATTTTTAATATTTTTCTCCCAATTATACATGATGTTCTCTAAAAACCACCCCACATATGCATTTTTAGAATCCTTATAAAAAATAGAAAAACAAAGTTTCACATTGGGAATCGTGAATTAACTGACAAAAAATTAAAAACGCTTACAATATCTGATCATCTAAAACATAGAAAGGCAAATGTAATAAACAACAAAACAGGTTTGATTGGAGGTTGAAAATTAAGCTGTTTCCAAAGGATCGTCTTTCAAATCCTTTCTGTTTCATATTCCCGTACCATGATTTATCTTATTACGGAAGTACTTTTGGTTTTTCTTCGGTGAAATATTAATTTGCGACCCCAGCTTTACTTCATTGTTTTAATTTTTGACGAAGATACTAAAAAAGCACATTAAAGGCTATCATTACACAGCACCATGTAAATAATTTGTTTATAAACTGCAACACTCTAAATAAATTACTCATTATCTGGAATATTTAAAGTTCTCTTACTTTGTATAATTCAAATAAAGGATGCGATGTAATCACTGCCCTTGAAATTTATTTTTAGAATAAAGACAATATTAAAGATCAACATAACTCTAGGATTTTAAAATTAACCTTACTTACAGCATTGTATAATTACAGCATTGTATATCTAAAACTAACCTTGCATTCAGAACTTACAGCATTGTATTAGATTTACAAAACTTTGGCCGGCAATTCGTAAAATCTATTTCCATCATAAAATATTGTACCGTAATTTTTACAGTAATATTTATTAAAGATTCAGTGATTTTACAGTAATTAGCACACCTTAAAAAATAATCACAAACACGTCGCCGCAATATCGCTCGACATCAAAGGGGCATTTGACAATATCCAGTATGATCTAATTAATAGAGAATTGTCAATGTACCAAGTCCCATCCAATCTTTGTTTTATAATAGAAAGCATCAATACGAACAGGCAAGCCATCTTAGCAACAAATCGGGGATATGTAACAAAAACAATTCAAAAAGGCTGCCCACAAGGGTCTTGCATAGGACCGACTGCGTGGAATTTAGTNAGTAATGTGATACGAATTATTGTCATCTTTATTGTCATCTGTATCATCTGTATTGTGCAGTTATGAGCTTTGTGCGAGCTAGACTGTCGTCCAGACGTGGACTATACGGTTAAGGGTTTTGCAAACCTAGGTACGTGTCCACGTCTGGAAGAAAAGAAGAAAAAAAAAGTAATTAGCACACCCAAATGTGTAACTATTTTGTAACGCTGTTGAAGAACTGTACTAATTTATATGAAAATTTTTTGTAGGGAGGTAAACGATGAAAATATGATTTGCCGAGAATTAACATTTACCTTTAATGCAGATATGAATACTCTTCAGGTTTGATACATTTAATTTTCAATTCGAATTCATTTTATTTTTTCTGTCAATCGTTAACGAGAATAACAGCTCCAATTTTTAAATATTTCAGAAGGATTTTCCTGTGTTAACAAAGCTAATGCATAAAGTAAGTTTTACATTTTATACCACTTTACAAACAGCTTCAACAGCTGTCTATGGCGAACGTGATTATAAAATTGTTTTTGTTAAACAAAAATTACACTGGGGAGCAAATTCTTAGATAATTTCTGATCTAAGAATTTGGAATCTTAGATAATTTTGCTTCGCTGATTTCAAATCTTCAATCAGTTTTTCTGTACAAACTACATTTTTATTTTTCAATTTTTCAAATGACATTTGGTCTATTGTTGTGTTGTCGAAATGTACAAGTTTAAAAACATTATATATGACAGGGGATTAAATAAATGTTGCGGGGGTTTCAAAGGGAGTTAAGGCACACCATCAGGATTAAAATTGCATAGGAACCCATGCCTGGAAATGTCATCATACGCCGCTAGGGGTGCTTCTCTATTATGAACTCTTTCATCGTGTACTTTTGAGCAAGTCATAAAAAGGAAACGCACTTATGGCATTTCTGGACATTTGTTCCTATGCAATTTTAATCTTGATGATGTTTCCTGTTTCCCCTGGAAGTTTGTCGTAAAATTTACGTGACTTCCTGCTATATGTAACGTTTTTAAACTTTTATACTTCGACAAAAAATGGGCTGAAAATGTAATTTTAAAAAATTCTATAGCTTCAGGAGAAAAACTTATTTTAGATTTAAAAACCTCACTCCTGAATAAGACAAAATCATGTATTCTATAGAGGCATCAAAAAATCTGTTCCTCTTTGTTATTTGTGTTCTATGCACTTGTTCTTATTTACTTTTACAAAACTATGTTAAATCCTATTAGTAAAATTATTTTTTGCAATAGCAATTTTTGTGTGACTTATTTCATTATGAAATATATATCTTAATAATTTTAACTGAAAAATGAATACAGCTTTAAGCACCAAAATTGTTGCATTTTGAAATCGATTAAGCTTTTCTTCTTGTTTAAAATACGATATGCGAGTAAATTTAAGTTATACTTGCAGATTAAGTTAGCTATACATCACTATGCTGTAGATTTTTGCGAAATTTTTAATTTAAAATCATTTCATATTTTATTTTATAGATTCCTCCTGAAATAGATGCCTTAACATTACAAAAAATTTTGAGATCTAGTTGGAAGTGTAAGTTTTTAAAATGTTTATCAATCAAGTAGAAACATATACTGCTTGTTAAGAAACACACTTCATGTTTCTTGTGTAAAAAATGCTAATTATACTAACTTCCTAAGAAATGCATTTTGTAATACTGTTCATTTTTTTAAAAAAATTACGTATTATGCTGCTTTTAAAAAACATGCATTATACTGCTTTTTATAAACTGTCAATTTTAAATTACCTGCTCAAAGATATATTGCAGAAATAAATTGTTTTTTAAACTGCTGTTTTTACATATCATAACAGTTATACTAAAGTATAGCTTATTATTTAATAAGTGTTTAATTCTTAGTATTGTGTGGTGTTATTTTTTACAGCTCTCAATTTGTTATGCGAGAAACCAAGCTTAGAACTCTGCCGTAATCTTATAATGTTAAGGGATGTATCCTTTTTTACAGTGAACATGTTTTATTTGGTTCATACATTTTTTGTTAAAAGGAAAAATTTATTCTAAATTAAAGGTTCCGCAATCAATTTTAATTTCATGTACTGTAATAATGAATTGAGATATATGTGCTGAAAATGTATTTAAACTGTAAATTTATAAAAATACACAATTTAATTACATAAAAATTTTAAAATAATAATTTTTTCATATTTACATGGGGAAAAACAATTCTGGCAAAATTAACGTGCTGTATGGTAATGACATTTATGGCAAAAAAAAACTATAATTCTGGTTAATAAAACTAAAATATATCCCATTTAAACCATTCACTTGATATTTTTTCCTTTCATGTCTTAAAGGTTTTCCCAAAATGTTTTATTTTCAGAATTATAGCCCTTATTACTTCTCAATTAGTAAAAAATAAAAAACTAAAAAGTAAATTTAACCGATCATTTCTCATTATGTCATGCTGTAAGGTTTCATGATAAAATTATCAAATTTTGCAACATCAAATTAACAACTTTTATCACATATTTGGCTTAGCGGTGAAATTTACCGACTTCTTTGTGGTTTCTATAGAATCAGAAGCAAAATTTTACCGTATTTTAGTAGATTTAACCATACTTTTTTCCCAGTGTATTTTATGTCGAAGCTTTTTCGGTAGTTTTGCCATGCATTTAATTTCATAGTCACTCCTAATTAAAAAAATATCCGCAATGATCTTTTAAAACTATTTATAAAAACATAGAATTATATAAATTTTAAAGCGTTAGAATATCATTTAAAACTACTGAACTACTTGAGTATCGTTTTCCAGATTTTTACTTGTAGAATTTAAATACTTAGTGTTTAGTTTTACTGCTTTATATAAAATTCATAAAATAAGTTCTGAAAATTTTGAAGAAATTTTTCAAACTTTTATTTCATACTTTAACTGAATTTACTCTACACTCTGTCAGTTTATATCAGTTATTAAAATACAGTTAGTTTTTCTACCACTGTAGTATAGTGCATATATATAGAGTATGTAGTTGATCATAGTAAAAATCAAAGTGTTAAAGAAAGGATAATTTTAAAATTAATAACTTTATATTTCTTAACTATGTCTATAGCCCTTAATTACAGGTAAAATTAGTAGAAATGAGCTACCTGGATTGATTTATACTTTGCAATACTGGAGAGTAAGTTAGCACCCTTATTATTTTTTTCAAAGACGCACTTTTATTTTCAAAATATTTTTTTCTCAATTTTATTGTCTTTATGTTTTTGTGATAAAGTATTATCAGGTCCTCAAATTATTCCCACATATTTGTATTATATTTTAGTTAATACTAATATGTGATGTAAATAGAAATATGAAGGAAATTTTCTTTGATGAATACACAAATTTCATTTTTGACAAAATTTACTAATATTTTTGATTTGTCCAACTACAGACATACCACCCTTGCAGTATTCAAGAAATTTTTATTAAAACGACGTTTATATTAATTAAATATCTAATAAGAATAATACATTAAGATAAATATTAAAATTATTCAAATTTTAAGACTTACTAAGGTTGTATATATTTATCTTTTAAGGTTGCACCACATTTTAAGGCATGTCCCGGTCGACTTTAAATGTAGAATAGTAATTTGTTATATTTCATATATTTTTGTGAAAAACTTCCCAATAAAAGGGCAATTTTTTGTTTAAATGGTTTCTGTTTAGTTTTTACAAATTCTCAAACGTTTTTTTATGAATTTTCAAACATCATTTAAAGGGAAATACGTCAGAAGAACCTAAGGAAATATAAGGTTAAAAATATCTTAATTTGTGCTAATAAATAGATAAATAGACAAAATAACAAATCGACAAAATTATTAAAGAATTTTCAAAAATGTGACTGACGACAGTAATGAAAAATACCTAACTCGCTTAACATTTCACAGAATATTACTAACACAGAATATTTTGCTAAACTTTGAGTATAATTGCCTTTTTTTAAGAGAGGAAGAAGATAAATGTATAAATCTTTTTCGTATTAGTAAATTTAATGAATATTGCTGAATTCTTTTTACTTACACAGTGTACATAATATTGTACCAACATCTAAATACAATATTAATACACAATGAATTAACAAATAGTCATGAAAGCAGATCAGATCCTCTATAAATGAATTTATTCGGCTTGTTTTCATTAATTGAAATTCACAGTTATAGAAATATTGCATCAGGTCTGATCATAACTATTTTTTATAAAACTTCACATTCAGTAATCTTTTTAAACATTAAATGTAGTCTTGGTAGTAATCTTAGATATATTTTAAAGGTTGCTTTTGCTAAGCACGATTCCAATAACAGAAGCAAATCAAGTAGTTTCAATTTTAGAAGTCTTCTATGGGATGCAGGTAAGGAAATTCTCCGGAAATCATCAATTTTAGAAATTCTGCTTCATAAAAAATGGCCGTCATTTTTAATCAAATTTTAAATATTTAACAGGCGTAACTGTAAGCAACAAAGTTTTAGAATGTGCAGTTTTACGTTGTACTAAAAACAGCATCTTAACATCAGAAGCGTATTTATTGGCTCTAGTCAAACTATATTTGGCTCATGGTGAGTATGGTTTAATTCATTTCAAAAGTTTCAACTTGCTTTTTAAAAGGTTCGTCAGAGCAGTGGTGCATTTACAAATACATTTGCAATCAGTGGTACATTTGCAATCAGTGGTACATTTACAATCAGTGGTACATGCTTACCAATTTATATTTTTTGCTTAAAAAATATTACGGTTAGAAGAATTGTAGGACAAGCAGATCATACGATATATGTAGTTATTTATTGTCTAATTAAAGTTTCTACCATTCTTTGTTTTCTTGATTACACTATAAAAAAATTCCAGATCAAATTAGGGTGATAATTACACCGGTACTTCTTACCATAAAATGTTAGGGAGCCAAAAATCTGATCTATCACAATTTTTACTGTAAAATCATTTTAATTAAATTATTATTAAAGTAAAAATTACGATGAAAATTTTACGGTAAAAATAGATTTTATTGTATGATGGAGTTCATGGCTGATGGTGCTAGCATTTTTCAGCCTCATCGGATCCGGAAATTTTTACAGTGCATACTTAAAAACCTATATCCCATCAACTTACATTCTTAAGCAGAAAATAAAAGTATATTTAATTTTTAGTACAAAATGCTTTTACATAATTTATTACTGCTTAATAGGTTAGCCTATGCTTAAAACTTAGAGGGATTAATAAATTATGCAACAGCTGTATTTCTAGATCGTATTTCAATTGATATTTTTAATCTCAACGCTCAAGATACAATCAATAATCTTGAACCTGGTCATCGAAGTAAAGAAAGTAAGCGTACAAGGGGTCTCCAAATGATATTTAAACAAGGAAATGACAAAGACGTTAACGAATCATATATGAAGATGGCGAGATGAAATTTAAAAAAAAAAAAAAACAGTTTGCCTAACTTAAATATTAGTTTTCGACAACTGATGTCTATATCTTCTTTAGAAGGATTCTAAAACTATATTTTAAGGATAGTTAATACAGATTACCTCGTACTTTCATTATTTGATAAATGAATTATTTTAAAATTGAATTTGTGTTATCGGATTAAGGAAAATTGGATTAAAGAGTCATTTTTAGTCAAATTTGAAAGCGAGAAAAAGAATTTATCTAATAATTCATAAATCCAATAATTAACTTAAAGGTATATGTCACACTTTTATTGCATCGGGTAAACTTATGATGATAATTGTGTTTTGAAAGCTATTACATTTTGAAAATAATTAGATCAAATTCACATCCAAAAGAAAAAATTTAACTATTTTTTAATTTTACAAAACAAATTTCTAATTATGTCACTCACTGTGATTCGGTTATTGTTTTTTTAAGAATTGATTATATGTATTTTTTCAATATTTCCTTGTTGAATTTAATTTCAAGTTAATAGTATCTAAAATTAAATTAAATAATAAATTTTGATAGAAATCTTTTAAGTATTCCTAATTTTCTGACATAAGTGCTACCTATTTCAATCTTACCACTAGAATAACAATTACTGAAATAAATCCTTAAAACCAAAATACTCCTGACTAATATTTAAGTAACTTCATCTCTTTGATAATTTTACTTAAATTATATTTGTTAAAAGCTTTTTTTTACATATGTTTGGATTGAATGATTTGTATTTTGTATTTTACTTGTAGAGTTATTTCTTTATCATATTTTTAAAAATTATTTCAAGCTGTAACATTTCATCCACTTTTTTGGAAACTATTTATTTATTTTAGTTTAATATACTTAACTTGTTTCAACTTGGAAAATTTCTAAATTTATATTAAATGTATTTTTGATGTTTACTGTCACTATAAATTTCAGAGAGATTTGTGACAGTCGAGAAAAAGATGAAAGAAAACGCAATGACTTTGGAAGAGGTAATTTTGTTACTTTTATAATATTTTGGGATTATAACTTTTACTATAGATGCATTAATACTTTATTCTCCATATTATGTCACACTTTTATCATGCATAAAGCTTTTTATCATTCGTCATGACCATGTTTTACTTTTATCATACTTATTATATATAAGCCTTCTTCTTACTGAAGGAAAATATAATAAAGAAATGGGTCTTATCAAATCTTTTATGAAGAATAGTAAGCATAGTGAAAGGTGGAAAATGAAAATTAACCACAGTGAAAAAACTTTGAATTAATAAAATTTTTAGTAGAGCTATCATATAAATCAAATTTATATGCTTAATATAAAAATGATTTTTAAGAGTTAATTGTAAAAGTTATTAAGAATGAACAAAGTACTAAAGATATTAACATTAAAAGCCATAACAAAGAACGCGAAATAGAATAAAACCTTAAATATAATTTATTCAGAGTTGAAAGAAATTTTTATAATAAATGTCGTACTTCATATTTACCGTAAATCATATAAATCAGTACTAAGACTACTTTTTTCGGTTTTGATAAGTTTGATGAAAATATAAACTAGTAAAAATTATTTGTACACTTTTAAAAATTAAATAATATAATTATATGACAGTGCAATATTTGTTAAGTAATCTGAATTTAAACACATAAATTGAAATCGAAATACGTCATTGCCTAAAGAGAAATTTCTGAATTTGTGAAATAAATTTTTTTCAATCCTATTGTTTATTAATTCGTAAGAATTAATTAATATTTACTTATTTATTTTATTTCTCTGTTTTTCTCAGATGATTCTATTAACAGTGTACTCTTAGCACACTCTTCTAATATTATTCAATCCTATTGTTTATTAATTCGTAAGAATTAATTAATACTTGTTTATTTATTTTATTTCTCTTTTTTCCAGATGATTCTATTAACAGTGTACTCTTAGCACACTCTTCTAATAGAAGTCTTTATGTTCGAATCATATTATGTTTTGAATCAATTTTGGATATTTTTATTATCGATGAAGACTCGATTATAATTAAGACACCGATTATTGAGATTACATTCATTATAATTTATTCTAGTCATAGACATAAAATGTATGTTTTTTATGTGATACATATATCAAATATTTATTATGCAAACTGCATGAGAAAAGAACTTTAAACGATAAGAGTTTTGTTGTCAATGCTAAAGTCCTTGCAATTTACAAGTAATGAGAGTGCATCGCAAAACTCTTGTGATAATTTCTAAATTTACTTGTATTGATTCTTTAAGATCTTTTCATCTTTTTATGCCATGGTTATAGATTTTTATATCATAACATTTTCTTTTCATCATAATAAGAGAGTATAATTATTTTTGTATTATTCATTAATATAATTTCATTCAAACTCATTGTTTCTAGAAGAAAAACTACGCTGTTTTGAGAAGCTGATAGTTTATAAGTTCTACATTTCATAGAGAATGATAAAAATAACATAAATTAAGTTAAAATTCCACTGCTAAAAATCGCCTAATGACAGTATGTGTAACACTTTTAATTGCAGCAATTTGTTAAGTCCGCTTAATTTAATTGTAAATTACTTTAAACAATTTATTACACTAAAATAGATACTAATAAAAAAATTCGATTCAATTATGGTTTGAGCTACATTTTTATTATTTAATTTAATTTTAGATACTATTAACTTGAAATTTAATTCAACAAAAAGATATATATTAACAATTCGTAAAAAAACTAATAACCGAATCACAGTAAGTGGAATAATTTGAAATTCGTAAAATTGAAAAATAGTTACATTTTTTCTTTTTGATGTGAATTTGATCTAATTATTTTCAAAATTTAATAACTTTCAAATCACATCTTAAGTTTACCCGATGCAGTAAGCGGGAGACGTATACCTTCAATTTAATTATTGGTATTCCTCCAAATACCGAAAAGAAAATAAAGGAAAATATTTAATCCTAGATAAAGTTTACTTATAATTCAAATAAGTAAGTCAATTGTAAATTAAAATAAGGTCTTTGTGCCATTTGAAATAAAACCAAATTTTATTTAAGGTTAAATTTCTATCTCCTTTATGATATTAAAATAAAAAAGAAAGTTTCACTAAACTACTAAAATTGATAAAATGCATTTTGTCTAGTAAATATTAACTATCAATCATATTTGTAAATTACATTCATTAATTTCATGAGCAAACTTTAGTACTCTCCTAATTCAGTAAATACTTGAAATTATTCTCATTATGAATACTAGGAAATCATTAATATATTTGGTTTTTCAATTTCAATGTATTTATTACATTTAATAATTTGTAATAAAATAAATTAAAAAATAGTGTTTCAGTGTTTTTTATTTTTATTCAATTTTACTTAAAAATATTTACATACATCAACAGTATTTTTTCCTAATCGAAATCAACGACTGTATTATAAGCTAAATATATAATTTAATTAAAATGTTTTAAAAGGTTTTTTCATTATATGTTCGAAGCATTTTATATATCTTAATGTGCAATCAAATTAAATTATCATGTATAAAATCAACACAATTTATGTGTACATAAATAAATAAATATTTAAAAAAATTGTGTTTTGTGACTTTACTCTAGAAAATGCATTTTTATTTCTGTTAGGGATTGGAAAATTTTGATGGAGTCGCATAAATTTTATTTAAAAAAATGAATGAGTTGAAAATTACTCTCTTTTGTGTCAATTATTTGGTCTAAAAGTATTCAAGAAATTTAGAATATGGAGTAAGCACATACATGCAATTATCATGATTTTGATTTTCATTATTCTAATTTATTTATACATTATTGTCACTTTTAATAAAAATTTAAAACTGGAAATAGGATTGATTTAACTTATTTAGATTTAATTACACTTCTATTATGTGGTGTTAAAAAGCGAAAAAACTACATTTAAATATAAAATATGGAAATGATTATCTTTATAAATATAGACTGCATGGTGATTTAATTTTTTAAATACACTGTACTCACTTCTGTATACGTTGAACAATAATATCGTTCTAAACCTTAAACAAAAACAAATAAAACCACATTATCGTTCGTCTTGAAATTGATCACCTGATACTATACTGCAATTTGAGCATTGGTTACATTTAATACCCTATAAAGGTTACAGCAATGTCGGACTGATTCTTCAAGAGAAATCGCAAAAGAAAATTAATAATTAAATACACTGTAAGAAATTCTGGGTGAAATAAAGATAAAAAGTACCGGTACTTAGGGTTCCAGTACTTTTTACCAAAAAATCCGTTTTTTCCGGAACATATTACAGAAAAAAAATTTGATGCACCGTTTTTATAGTGATAATTACCGTAAAATAATCGATTCACTTTAATTAAATAGTGACTGTAAAAATTGCGGTTGCATAATAATTTACGGTAAAAATAGATTTTATGGATGATGCACCCAAAGTGCCGGTGCTTTATACCGTAATTCGTTCCGGAATTTTTTTATATAGATTATCTATTTACAAAGGAGAAGTAAATTTGTTAAACAAATTTTTTTCCCTCAACATACAATAAAATTTCCCTATTTTTCCTATTTGCAATAAATTTTTCTTCCGGTCTTTTAATTTATCCGATCTACTTATGAGTTCTTAAATTAGAGTCATTTTAACTTGGATATTATTTCTATCTCGGACGGAAAAACTCCGGCAGACATTGGCAGAATTCTGGAAAATCTATTCACTTTAATTAATTTTTTTTTTAAAAATATTTATTAAATATCTTTTATAAAATATCTATTTACAAATTTTTTTTAAACATTTTACAGAATTTTCGGAATTTTTTATAAAATATCTATTTACAAAGAAGAAGTAAATTTGTTAAAAAAATTTTTTTCCCTTAACATATAATAAAATTTCCTTTTTTTTTCTCCTATTTGCAATAAATTTTGCTCCCGGTCTTTTAATTCATCCGATCTACTTATGAGTTCTTAAATTAGAGTCATTTTAACTTGGATATTATTTCTATCTCGGACTGAAAAACGCTCGCGTTGGCAGAATTCTGGAAAATCTATTTATAGATAATACTCTCCTCATCAGACTGATTTGGCAACTTTCACTCTAAAGGGACGACGACATTACACACTTTTCCTTCTCTTCTCTAATCGTAAACAAGCTCCCCATGCTCAAAAGATTAATATTTTTCATGAGGTTTTAAGGGCTTGAATGCATTAAGATATTTTTGAATCTTCTTTGTTCAATACTATTTTTGGTGTCCTATTTTTTAGTGTCTTATTTTTTATTCTATTATTTTTTCAGAAATAATTCCACTTTGATAGTTAGATAATAATAATGATTTGGTTATCGAAAATTGAACATTTTCAATGTTTGCACACTATGTTACAAAATTTTTCCATTCACAAAAATCAAAGATAATGTGGTTTTGGAAACTTTGCTTTTCAAAATAGCTTTGCTTGTAGAAAATTGTATATATTCTGGTAATTTTCCACAATAAATAGTTTATTGCAGAGTTCCTTATCAAAAATAAATTTGAACTTAAACTTTTTATTAAAGCTTTTGAAATTTTTAAGTATTCACTTTAAGAAAAAAGTTCTAAACGTAAAAAATTAAAAGACAAGAAAAAAAAGTCTTGGGAATAAAAAAGAATTAGTTGAAATTAAATTTAAAATAACTTTAAATGCAAGCCTTTAAAATTTTTCATTATTCCCTTTCAAATATGCAGAAAAAGTTTTAGAAAATGTTTACATTTTTCTAAACAGTTTTTACATTTTATTTAAGTTTTGGCAAACATTTTCCGAAAAATTAAATATTTAATAATATTAACATCTATCTGGTATTACAAGATGCATGTCTTAAAAGAGAATTAAATAAGAAATAATTATGTATATCGAAGAAATCATACCACTATTTCTACTGAAAAACAAAAAAAAATTTATATATTTAAAACCGAAAAGTTTTAAAAGTTATTTTGAAAAGAATACCAGGCATGAATATTTAGATAAAAAAAAGTATTTAAATGAGACTATGCAATGAAGATAAAAAAATTCTGTTCTAGTAGACTTTGTTGAAGAATATAGTTTCAAGTGAATTTTAAAATTATTGTTAGAGTTCAAATAAAAATAAATAATCATTCATTAATTAAGTCCTTTGCCTCTGAGTTTATTTATATAAGTCATTATAATTGAACAAACAACAAACTGACAAACAACAAATTTCAGATAATAAAACTATAAAATAAACAATAATATTGATTGCAACTTACGAAATCAGTCATAATCTTTCCAATAATCAACATCGTCAACTTTCATTTTTTTCATGTAAAAATTTCCAACTATACAAATTTATTCTTCAATAAATTGTTGGATCTCCAATATATACAAAAGAAACTTTTTAAATAATAAATATTTCTTGCTTATTGTAAAATAAAATTATAAATTCAAAATATAAATAACATAGTAAAGGAATTCACATACAAACTCGAAATTATAAATCTCCACACCAGAATAAACATACTACCTACACACAAAAACTAAAAAAATCAATTTACCTATATTAAAAGGTTTTGAAAGCATTATGTAACCGAAAACTCAAAGTTTACCACACAACGAAAATTAAATAGATAAAAAAGACTGGTTGATAAAAAATCTATGTGAATGTTTCAAAGAAGCAAATCAATATCTAGTATTGATCTTGGTTTATATTGGTCAATAACAATTAAGTCAATATGAAATCTAAGCTTGAAAACAGTTTATAACAAATAATTTTCCTCTATTAATAAAAAGTACTTATAAAAATACACAAATGTTAACAATTTTAAGATTTTCTAAATGGCATCCATATACATAATAAATAGATATTATTTATGCCATATACAATATAAGAAATACAGTAGCTATATCAATACATCTTATCGAAAACCTTTAAATTCTTTTTTAAAAATAGAATTTATACAATAAAATGACTTATTCTTTATATATTTGTATATATACCATACATAAATATATTCTTGAAATATCAGGCATCATTATGATTTTATAACATATCTAGCTAAATCAGTAATTACATCAATATATATTCCAAAAAATATTCACTTTGAATATTTTGTTGATATGTGATACAAAATAATACTTTTTGCCGTTGCAATGCTTAAAGATGTCAATTTATTTAATAAAATTCTATTCTTAATGTCTATTAAATGTGACAGCGTAATGTGAAATCTTTTAAAATTTTGCTTAAAAAATACAAAAATGAATATAATAGTATTTAATATAGTATTTGTCGTAAAAAGTAAAAAAATATAGATAGCAAGTTGGTTTTTAAGAAATGTAATTAAGAAATAATTGAAAATATGTTAGAAATTAAGCTAAGATTTAAAATTAAAACTTCATTTTTAATTTTATGTACTTTTCTTATTGTATTATTTAAAAGCATTCTTTCAGAATACTTATGCTAAGTTATTTTAAAGGACGAATTTTACTAGTAAGTACTTAATTTACTGAAATTATTTTCTTAGAACCAAACTTTAATATCCATTTTTACCGCCTAAAGCATAAAATGAAGTTAAGTACTTATTATCAAGTTAGCTAAATTAAGGAGAAATATAGGTACATTCGCGTTTGTACATTTTTTGAAGAAACATGACTTTCATTTGTTACAAAAAAATGTTCCAAGTATTAAAAATCTAATAAGTATTCAGCAAAATCTGATAAGTATTCAGTTTATTAGAATAATATATACAATATTTGTATTTGTACTTTTTGTTCTGTTAAAAGTTACCTTCATTTTAAATATTTGGTAATAAATTTATTATTAAGTAAAAGTACTTGTGTTAATATACTGAATTTCCTGAAACAATTTCAGTACTCTGGTAAAAGCATAAAATAAAGGATGTTAAAAACATAGTCGTTAAAAGGTTATTTCTTAAAAGAAATTTCGTATTACTTATATATTATTTTATTGTTTAGATATATACTTATTTGTAATTAAATAAATAATCCCAATAAACTAAAGCGGTAGGATATTACTTGATTAGAAACTTCATTTACTTCAAATATATACTGGAAATAACAGTCGACATGTTTCTAGCGCTCAAAAACAGGCACCCATTTTCAAGACTTGCCAGACGTGAGTGTCCAAAGACGTTCCTATTACAACATAATTGCACAACAGTTTTCCTGAAAAAATAATACTCGTCAAAATTATAATTTTTTTTTAATATTCAATTATTCAAGACTTGACTGATGTGTTCGCGTCTGGCTCTTGGTTTATTTTAGAAGCAAATGAAATTTTTATTTAAGTAATACTTGTTTGATATTTGTAACTGTTAGTTATAGTATAAGCAAATGTGATAAATACACCATCCCATATTACTTTCCATGATTCGTATGTTTCTTAAAAATCTTAACACAATGTTATGTTTAAAAAAAGTTAGTAAAGGATAAAAGACTAATCTAAGCACATAAATTACTGAAAATTACTGTACTCTTCGACAATAGTATCCGACGGTTTTGCACTTTTCACACAGGTGTTGAGGATGCTCTTTGCTCTGATCAGAAACATCGAGACCGTCAGGCTTCTCTAAAGGTCTCTGAAAACAAAAATAATCATGAAGTATAATTTTTATAAAAAAAATTATTTGAAAACAAGACTAGTACATATCAAAAGAAGTTAAAAAGAAAAATAATAATTTTTTAAACAATAAATAATAATTTTTTAACAATATAAAAGAGAGAAAAAAATTCTGGTAAAATTATGATTCTGTATGGTCATGACATTTCTGATAAAAAAAAACATAAATATGATTAATAAAAACAAAATGTACGATATTTAAACCATTCTTCAGGTAATTTTTCCGTTCATATGTTAACAGCTTACTGAAAATTCTGCTTTTCGAAATTAGAGTTCTTATTACCACATATTTAGTAAAAAATACAAATTTGAAACTTAAATTTAACCTAATAAATTGTTTTTATGCCATGGCTCTAGAAAGCATCATTAAATTACCAAATTTTACCACAATCACCAAATTTTGTCACATATTATAAAGCAATATTTTATTGTTAATTTCTCCCAAATCATTGCCATAACCTTCTGGTGAAAATTACCGAACTTTTTAGTGTTTCCATAGAGCCAGAAACAAGATGAATTTGACCATATTTTTTTCTCAGTGAGAATAAATCTACAAGAGAGAGTGTTACAAAAGAATCTACTTTTTTCATAAGTAAGTAATAGTTTCATAAGTGTAAATGGTAGTTTCATAAGTATCCGCAAGTAATTAAATCCATGGAAAGAAAAGTTACTAAGTCCATGTAAAGGACAGTAATAAGTAATTCAGCTAAGGATATCATACGTAAGTCCAAGTAAGAAAATATAAGCCAAGACTGTAAATAATAATAAATGTAATTTTCTTCTTCTAATTTTGAACAGTATTAGTTTTTTTAGGGTTTTAGAAAACTTTTTTAACATTATTGCTAAAACAATGTTTCATTCTACACCCTTTTGACATAATATTTACTACTCTAAATTCTCCATCTAACGTATTGTGTTGATTAGATAAAATAACATGTTTGAGGAAACAATGTGGAAAACATGTTTTAACCTCAAAGTATATTTTTTATTGAAGGAAATTAGCCTATAAAATAGCGTTATATTGCAGTAAAACGTATTGAAATCCTAAATTTTAATAATTTCTTTCTTTGAGTTTAAGAATTACTTTAATTGTCTTTAAACAAAGCTGAAAAGATATAAAAACTAATTTCCTTTACAATCTTTTGAGGTTTACATTGTAATAGCTTATGGTAAAACTGATACTGATTAAAAGAACATCCAGAAATTAAATTGATGTTCGTATTTTAAGCAAATCTGTTATAATTGTCATATTTCACTATATTATGGCATATTTATTTTGTTTTTTTCATAGCCAGCGAGATATTTATTAAAAAATATATATGTGTACACGAGGAAAACAGTATAATCAAAACTACCAGAATATGCAAAATTTTATTCTGGATCTATGGGAAGACCAAAAAGCTCCGTAATTTCTTTTTATTTAATCGAAGCGTTTTGGTAATGATTTTGGTAAAATTAACAATAGAATATCTTACTACGTATAAAAATCTAATGATGTTGACGCAGTTATCCATTGTTGTCCGTGCATTTTTATTGGCCGGAAAGTCACATGGTAGGATCTAGTTTTTCCTTATTCATTTCAATATTGTTTCGGTTGTCGTCAGCATGAAATTAATAAAAAAAAGTCATAGAGGTACTGTTTTTCTATGGATATTTTTGTATCCCTAATTTAAAGTCATTTTTCTGTACTGCTGTTATTACGCTTTTAATTCAAAATATTAAAACTAAGAGAATTGCCGCTTATTTTTAGTATTATTCTAGTGCAATTCTGCGATACATTTGCAGATAAAGTTATTTAAAAAGGTATTCTAATCTTATTAACCATTTTAAAATTATTATTTTTGTGCAAAAACCATTAATATACTGTTATAAATTACAATTAAAGAATTCTGTTAAATGATTTAGAACTTAACGATCAGCTTCAATCACAATGAGATGCAAGCAAAAATAGTATCTAATGTATACGCCCGTTTGGTAAGTTAAAATATCAAATTACGTTATGAACTCATCACATTTGTGTGAACAATATAATGTTATAAAATTTTATAATAATATAAATGTTATTTTGAAAAATGATTATTTAGAAAAATTACTTCTGTTCAGCAATAGATCTAAATATATATACTAATAGATAATAATATTTGGACGTGGGAAATGGGGGCACAAGCGTAAGCAAATAAAATTCCTTTTAGTACCTATATGTTAAGTGAATAATTTTAACTTTAGTAGAGAAACTGTTTTCTGTCACGAAACAACAATTATTGCGAAGCAATCATCCGGGGTTGTTGAGCGGCAGAGAACAGGGGGCTTAGCCCCCTAGTGTTATATAATATGTGATAAATGTCTGTAAATGTGGTAAAACTTCGTAATTTTATCATGATACCATAGAGCAAGGCATAAAAGTCATTTATTGGGTTAAATTTACTATTCAGTTTTATATTTTTAACTAAATGTGTGGTAATAAAAACTATAATTTTGAATACTAGAATTTTCGGTAAACTGTTCTCCTATGAACGAAAAAACTATGAAATAAATGATTTAAATACCGTATATTTCGGCTTTATTAACCAGAATTATGTTTTTTCTTTCAGAAGTGTCATTACTAACGGTACGGTAAATTTACCAAGAAATTTTCTCCGTGCACAATCGTAAAAGCATTTAACTCTAAAAGCGCTGACCAAAATCGCACCAATTTTAATCGGAAAAAATATTTACTCCGTTCACAAAACATCATGCGTTACTTTTTAATTACAGTGAGAATTTTTAGAACCGTAGTATGTCGCATTATCCTTTTGGTAATTTTCATATTATGTAGAGCCATATTATATTGAATATTAATCATTCTTCGTAGAATGAGATTAATTCCCAATACTACTGTTTAATTCAATTTAATGCCAGGGTGCAGAAATATTAATTTATTAATTAATATTAATTTATTAATTAATTTAATGGCAGGCTGCAGAAAGTTTACATGGTATTATGATTCATTGGTTCATTATTGTTAATCAATATTAAATCGATTTTTTTAAGCATACGACTACTTGAAGGCAAAAAATTGGCCGGAACTTCCTCAATGTTTTGTTTCATGTTTATTTTTGTCACACAATTCATAAAATTTCAGTCGTTTCAACAAATTTAAACCTAGTGGAGAACGATGAAGGATATTTTGGAGAAAGAAAAAGGACCTCACACACAAAGAGCAACTGTACGATTGTTGATCGTCTGTTAGAAGAATATGCTTCATTAAATTTTGAAAAACTCTAAAATGAGTGACGTTTCTAAACGTTTTAAATGTTTTAACAGTTTTAGATCGACGTGTGTCTTTTGAGCAACTTGAAATATTTTTACATGAAGATATGTAAGTATGGACAAGAATTATGTCTTGTTTTTGGAATAAATTAAAAATTTACTGTTTTTAAATGCTACAACAAATTTTGGCTAATGCCATTAATATCAGATTTCTCTCATTTTTAAAGAAATAAATGAAGATGTATCTGTACACTTTTATCAGCCGTATTTGAATTGCATAAATACACTAGCGTACAAAAGTTTTTGGTCAACGCGTGAAAGGTATTTTAACCTTTCTACCCTTTTTTTTTCTTCTGTAGAGATGATTTTCGTTTTATTTAGTCAAGCCAAACTATATATTACACTTAAATTTCAACATTTTTATTTTTCCTGCAATTTAATGGAAAATTTAATCTTCTTTGGATTAAATTTAAATCTTTGCACTCAGTTCAGTTGAATATTTCTTTTTTTTATATATAATTCGAGTCCTGTAAGAACTAATTCTTCAAAAATTTAATGTCAATAATAAATTAAAACTAAAATCACGATTTCCGTAAATAAATATGCAAAACCTATGCTTATTTGTTAAAATAATATTTTTTAATTGTATTTTCATCCAATTCTTAGATGTAAGAAAATCGCTTCACGAAAAACAAATACCCGACTGGTATGAAAATTGCATTTGATTTAAAGTGACTTTCAAAGCACTAATTTTGCCTTCTGGTTGATAAGAATATTAAGAAAGTTTAGGAATAAAATTATACATTATTTATTACATTTCCAATCAACCATTTATAATATTGAATTTGACCAAAGACTTTTGCATGCTAGTGTATATTAAAAAAAAACTTATTTATACAACTTTTTGAACAAATTTTATGTAATGCATTAAAAAATCCTTACATCCTGAAGGACGATTGGCATAATGATCAGATTTCTACGTACTGGCGATCTGATTTTCAAGTAAATGGCCAGCAAATTAGGGTAGACGTTAGTTTAACTTACGATATGAAACACAAAAACATGCTATCCCTGAACAAACATGCTTTTTTTAAAATAACAGATTCTGTTTTTCAGTTTCCTTGTTACGTGACATATCAGCTATCTGAAATGTATGATTCCAATAGTACAGTCAAAAAATCTGGTCAAAATTTGGGTTATGTTATTTTTATTCGTGGAAAATTTCACCTTGAGTGTATCTGCAGAAATAATTGGGCAAATCATACAATATTTGCACCCTTTATGTTTTAAACAATTTTGAACTGTTAGAAAGATAGAAATATTATTGCATTTTTAAATAATAATTTCTAAAATATACACGAAATCTGTAGACCAGTTTATTAGAGAAAGAGAAATTCGACAATAAAATTTATCTTAGTTCTTATAATTCAGAAACTATTTAACTGATTTTAATGAAATTTTTGATTTTCTCAATTTAAATAGTTTAGTTTGGCTTAATTATGATACCATACTATCAAAAATTGTTTAAATCATTGTGAGAAATAACAAATAGCTATTAAAAAAAATTTTAGATAATTTTTTTTTTGGGGGGGGGGGGGGAAAGAAATAAATATGGGNTTGTTGGGAAGGGGGGGGGGTAAATAATAAATAACAATAAGGAGTCTCAAATTTCCGACTGGTTTCCTGGCTTCAGTATTGAATCATACTTTTCAGTTTACGACTACCACCTCCCCAGCATTATTTTGGGGGATGTAAAAACATCCATTTTAATATGTTTATTTTGAAGTGGCAGGTTTTTGTGTTTGATAAATTACGGTGCACTGATTAAATAACACATCTTAAGTACTCCCCGTAAAAATCGGATCATTTAGTCAAAAGTTATTAAAAGTGTAATGTTATTTTTAATTTATTTGGTTTAATTGTGCTTTACTGTATACGTATCTGCGTTTATATTTTCTTTGTACTTCCTGTTGTACTTTATTTGTACTTTTATTTGCACTTCTCTGTTTAATATTTTTGTACTAAGGGGAAAAAATTGAGTAGCTACCTGCTTGTGTGGATACACATTAATGTGACACTTGATGCATTCTTGTCCCATGTTGGCCCAGCTGTTCCCACTCATCCACTTCCTTTTGCACTTGGGACATTTGTACTCCCCAAAACATCTCTTCTTGCCTTGGTATGGTGTAAGTCCTTCGCCCTTCGGTCTCGCCTGCGCACACAACAGACAGTCCTGTAAGCAGAGGACTTAAACGTTCTCATTGCTTACAAACATCTTAGGACCATGCACATAGAAAAAACACTGTGGCAATAACATGCAGCAATACATTGATATTACTTTTAAATTAGACAAACTAATTTATAATTTTTTTTCAACTCAGTTTCTGATTCATACATTAATAAGTTTAGAAACTGTTCTTGTTTCGAGAAGACGTTGCTAGGAATATTTGCAAAACTGTTCATGTGAAGAAAAGAAAGTAATTTCTTAAAAGAGTTGAAAATATTATTGAAAATAACTAAAGTGGTTGATATCTTAAATATAGGAGCAAACTATCCTAATAATGACACTGATTGTATTAGTTAAATACTGTTTTTAGGACTAATTAAGTATTCCTTTTGCAAAAATGTCACAATACTGTTTGACCATGCTTTTAGTCAATTTGCTATTGTTTCCAAATTGAATTTACTTATAATATAAATATATTACAAATTTCAAGTATTAACCCCAATTATTATAAATTAAAACCAAATTTAAAAGACAGAAGAACTTCAGAAACATTCATTCAAACAAGCTAGCTTTCTTTTTTATGAAAAGATTTAACTGAATAACTAAAATGTGTGTAAGATCAAGTAAAATATAAAGAAATAATTGCTTCCAAATGTTATACCATAGACATAAAACATAAAGAAATAAACAGTCCAAGTATATGAGCTAAAATGATAGTGTGGTAAATCAACACTAAATAAAAAAATGAATACTGTTTGACAAATACAGGAGTGAACTTTTGATTTGTGAATCATAATTAAATTGCAATAAATCAAAAAATATTTATTAATATTAATATCAGAACTACATTCTTAAAATTTGAATATCCTTTCCACTTCACTTAAAAACCATAAAATATAAAATGACTTGCATTTTAACAAAAATGTAAAACAAAAGAAAAACATTTCACTAATTTGTTTTACTATACATTGATTGCTATAACCAAAATTGGATCAATTTTATTATCCTTCTCCTTCTCAAAAAAAGAATAGCATTTAGCAAGTTATTTTTTATTTTAATAAACAAAATTAGATCAATGTTACTCTTCTCAGAAAGAATAATATTTGATATTTTTCATTTTACTTTAACTTGTTGATTGTGATAAGCATTTTTAGATCATCCATATTATAATTTTTAAAGAAGGTTTTTTTTGTTAATTTTATTACTTGTAATGACCAAAATTTAGATTAATGTTAACCTTCTCAAAAACACAATTAAAACCTCTCTTTTTTTTACTTCCATTAAATTGATTATAATAAACCAGTTTTAACAATATTTTCGTTTTCAAAAAAGAATAACTTCAAATCTTCTTTTTTCTACTTTAATATAGTGATCGCAAAAAACAAAGTCAAAGTAATGTTACCTCTTTTACAAAAATTAAAAAAACATTTCATCATTTCAATGTTGACAATGTTTGTAATCAACAAGCTTAGATCAATGTTATCCTTCTCAAGAATGAATAATTATTAATAAATTTTTCTTTATATATTGATTATGATAAACGAACTAAGATCAATGTTATTCTTCTATATGGAATAAAAATTTTTGTTCTTCTTTATTTTAATATATTGAATGTAATAAATAAGTTTAGATACAAACTATGAGATCTTAAACTGAATATTTTGAAATAGATAAAACATAATCATTCTTTTTAATACTTTTGAATCGTTATATCTTGGTTTAATCACTAAAAGAAAAAATCTTAAATTACATCATTTTCTATATTTTATTACAAAATTAAATCGTAAAATTAATTGAAAAACTTTTGTTTGAACAGAAGTTACCTATTTATGAAAACTTGGCAGAAAATTAACTACAGTGACGTAACTAAAAAATTTCTAGCGGTTGCATGATGCATGCATGGGTCACCACAATCTAGCGTCAATTAAAAACAGTTAAAAATGCTTGAAGACCTATTTATATTTGAAATTTCATTTATTCAAATTTATTATATTTCAAATTTCATTTAAAAAGTATAAACTAAATTAAATGAAATATAAATTATATTAGAATTTATTATCAATTAAAAATAATATATTAATTATGCAATTTTTTCATTTTAAATCAATATGACTTACATTCATTTTTGCTTTGGAGTCCGTGTTCTAAGAATGAAAAAAATTTATGTGTGTGTGGTCAGAGTTTAATACGCTAATATTCCTGAAATTATCATTGAAATAAAATATTTAAATGTGATATAAAAAGGAAAAAAAACGCTAAATTGAGACGTTACTTCGGTTAATAAAATATCACTACTGATTAATTATTATCAGTATTTTAAAAAGAAGATTACGAGACTCGTGAAAATAACTTAGATAATTGTTCTAAACATAATTGAATACTAAGCAACATTCGGTGTAAAATTAAAAAGAGGCACATAAAATAATCAAATTTTATGTAAAAAAATCTTTCTTGCTTCTTATCAAAAATTCATAAATTATAAATTTACGAATGGCTGGCTTAGAATTTAGTTAGCTTAAATTAAATTTTTTTTTAGTTTTTGTGCAACTCATTTTAAAACACCTATAACAAATTTAAAATCCAATATCCAATAATGTATGGAAGATTTTACTTATCATATTTTATTATGTTCATTGTTCATAGTTATGTTTATTTTAAATCAGATAATGCATTAAAGAAATACGCTAAAATATTCCTTATTATTGTAAAACCAATTAGGTTCAAATTGGAAATTAACATATAAACTTATTTGCTTGTACATTATTTTTGATGGAAAATAGATTTTATCTTTTTCTGTTTAGTTTTCGTTATCTTGTTTTAGACAATTTTGGGTCATTTCATTGAATATAGTTGTATGAATCAGAAATATTTTATACCTATTAAAGCTAAATTTTTATAGAAGATTCCCCTAGCATTTTTTCAAATTTACGTCGTAATGAAAAACCTATATTGAAAATTTTTTGCTGAAAAGAGATTATTAATAATAAAATGTATTGTTTTTCAATAAAGAAAAAGGGAGAAAATGCTTCTTCTTTGTCAGCGTAAAACCTTGCAGCCAAGACCCTTGCAGGTCTTGGCTGCCTCAACAGCTCAGAAACGTCAGCACCTCCTATCCATGGGAACTCCCTTCCAATTTCTAAACTTTAGGGTTTTCAGGCCATTTTCGATGTCATTAAGTCATCTAGGAAGTATTCTACCTCTGGAAAGTGACCCTTCGGGGTTCTTAAAGGTAACGATTCTCATGGAGCTATTTTCAGAGCTTCTCCATAGATGGCCCAGCCATCTCAGCCTATTACTGAAGATTATTTGTGTAATTTGGGGCTGCTAATGGAGTCGGTAGAGCTCGAAGTTATACCTGGTTCGCCAGCATCCCCTGTCTTGAATTGCGCCTAAGATGGCTCTGAGGATCTTTGTTTCAAAGTTGTCCAGTGACCTCTGTATATCTGAATTTATGACCACGTTTTACTTCCATAGAGCAGTACAGGAACTATGAGTGGTTTATAGAGTTTTAATTTTGTTTTTTGGCTGAGAAGATTCGATCTTAATTGTCTCTCCAGTCCAAAGAAACACTTAGTAGCCATTTTGACTCTATTTATGATTTCTGCTCTAAGTATGCTTTGATCATTAACATCAAGGCCAAGATATTTGAATTCGTTAACCCTTACAAATGTATAACCATTAATAGATAAAGGGACACTGTAATTTGTAATTTACAGTTGAGGACGAAAATTCCACGAATTTCGTCTTATCTTCGATTATAGAAAGGCCCCTATTTGTGGCAGCAGCTTTGCGAGCTCAAAAAGCCTCTTTGACGTCCATTTCTGAACATTCAATTACATCGATATCATCAGCGTTGACCTAAGCTTGAAGAGACCTATTCCAGAGAGTGCTTCTTCGGTCCAATCCACTATCTCGGATACATTTCTCCAAAGCAATGCTAAAAAGTAGGCAAACAAGGGAATGACCCTGATTCACGCCTCTTCTTCCGTTACAAAGAGTTCAGAAAGATGGTTTTGAATTTTAATCCTGCATCTCACATTATTGATTGCAGCGACGGTGAGGTTTACAAGCTTTACAGGTATACCGAACTCATTCACTGCCTCAAGCAACCTATTTTTCTTGATCCTATTATAGGCAGCCTTAAATCAATAAATCAGTCATAAGTCTTGATGCTACATTCTTTAGTTTTTTCTAGGATTTGTCTTGGAGAGTGGATTTGGTCAATGGTAGGTTTTTGAGATCTAAATACACATTGGCAGTTTTCAACCACTTTATCAGAAAAAGGCTGGAGTCTAGAAAAAAGAATATTGGAGAAGATTTTGTTTACCGTATTGAGAAGAGAGTAATACCTCTGTAGTTACGACATTAAGTTGGTCTCCTTTTTTAAGGATGGGGCAGATAGAGCCTTCTTCCTATTCAAATGACAATTTCTCCATGTCCCAAATTTTAAACATGATTTTATGGATAGCATTAATAAGCTCAGGTTCATCAACTTTTAAAAGTTCAGAAGGAATACAGTCAGGACCAGACGATCTGTTGTTTCTGATTTTTTTTCTAATAGAAAGCTTCAATTCATCGAGGGAGGGTGGAGGATTTTCCGCATCTGAATCCCCTTCAAACCATCATTCATTTTTTGCTCACTGGTTAAATAAATTCAACAACCATATTACAAGTTTCACAAATTTTAAGTAAGTGAAACAAAAACTCACTTAACATTAAATGAAATCATGAAAGTAAAATTAACATGAATGATAGAGTAAAAATATTGATTTAGTTCGAGCTTTACCTGAGGACAATCTTTGATGTAATGTCCCTTCTTGAAGCACAGGTGGCAAAGGTAACTCGGAGGAGGTCTTTTTGTAGGTTTGCAATCAAAACTAAGGTCGTTAAAAAGGTCGGTTAACTCATTTATTGTTCCAACGGGACTGTTGAATCCTCCATTCGTGTAATTTCCATAGTTGTTAGAGCTGGTTAATCCATTAAATACTGGTGGAATTCCATATTTGGTCTGAAAGAAAGATTCTATGTAAAACACAGTTGATCTGAGAAATGCTTGTAAACAAATTGACGCCATTACAAAATGAGTGAACTAACAAATATGCAAATTAGTTTGCCAGTTAACTTATTTTGTTATAGCGTCAATTTGTTTACATCAATCTCTTCGCAAATTTAATGAAATTTAGAGTATATTGAAGTATGACTTATATGTTACCTAAAATAATGTTTTTTCTCTACATTAATCAATGAAAAGTTAACTTTTAAATGAAAAACAAAAAATGTAATGAATGGTACCAGTTATATTTTATTTTATTTTATTTTATAACCGACCCACCTTTTGGGTTTACTCCGGATTTTGGGTTTATTAATGTTCAACTCCGTAGCCTTGTAATTTTGAACCCAATCCAGAAAACAAGGGAACTCCTGGATCGAGTATTGGGAGAAGTTTGCCTTCGTAGATGACTTTTTGATGGAACTAACCCACATTTGCGTTACCCACTATTAAACCCACTCTCCATTATATAGAGAAGAAGACCACGATAACCTCCCACGGTTTAGCCTGACGGCAAGGGGACTCTAACCCATGATCCATCTACCACTGAGGATATTTCACGTCAGCACTGTGGTCGGTGCAAACTGGATGCGGACTTTGTATCGACCAGCCATCGCCGAGATCGAACCTCGGTGCACCTCATTGGAAGGCGAAGGCTCTATCCCCTGAGCCAAAGCGGCTCGTGGTACCAGTTATAGTCGGCAACTGGTCTATAAAGTAACTAATTCCCACAAGAAGAGACCATTGTAATCCAAGGGTTACAATGGAGGTTTCATACGCAACGGCTTGACTACAGCAATGTGGTCAGCGTACAAGACGCCTTTACTTCCCAGAAAGCTGATATACCCATTAATCTGAAGCCATAAGGCCTTCAAGTCGTCTCTGGAAATCTAAACTCAGTTTTTCACGATGACAGTTCAATACCTTAATCACTGATCAATCGCTTAACTAAGGCTAGGAAAAATAGATTTTACATATTCAGCTTTATCCGAGTAATTTTGCCTGTTGGAGTTTGTGCTTCATTCGGAAATTTTTCTCAACAATACTATTACCTTAGAACTTATAAACTGAAATGTAATAAAATTTGATTTTAAATATTTTAGAACCATTTAGTTGATTTTTGTTGATCTGGCACAATATTTTTATGTGCATTAACTAATTTTTAGTATGCAAGCGATATCTTTGTAAGTTTAAAAATGGACAGATATAAATTTAGTATTAAACTTAAGATAAAGCAACAGGAAATAGTTCAAACTACCTTGATAGATGTAAAAATTAAAATCTTAAAACACTCTCTCTCGTATCATTTTTTAAATTTAAGAGGAAACGCTATTGTAAATAGTTAAGTATCTTTAAATAAGTAGGCTCAGTAACTTATTACATAAAATTTTTTTTAATTAAGAAATATTATAATTTTTTAAATTTTTATAATCTCATTATTCAATATTTATTAAAATTAAAAATATATTAGTATCAGAAATGTAGTAAAAACTCCATAGAATAAGCGTAAAGGTTCTCTTCAGGAATCATTCTTTTAATACAGAGGCATTTCGAAATAAAGAATACAATAAAAATTACTCAAATAAATAAATTGCTCTTGATCTTATCTTATATACACAAAGTACAAAGAGAGAGAGAGAGAGACAGTTCCGTAAATTAGAATTTGGAATAATATATTTTTTATTTAGCTACATTCCTTTTGAAGAAAGTACTTTATAAATAAAAGCTATTCATTATTATTCTAGTACATTCCTTTTGAAGAAAATGTTCTCTAAATAAAATCTGTTCATTTTTAATCCACATTCGTTTTTGAAGAAAATATTCTCTAAGTAAAAGCTATACATTTTTATTCAGCTACATTCTTTTTGAAGAAAATATTCACTAAATAATGGTTATTCAGTTTTATTCAGGTACATTCGTTTTTTAAAGAAAATATTTTTTAACTATTAACCAGAAAAACTTTATCGCATATTTTCCAAAGTTGGCTCGATGTTACGGAAGTCTTCTTTTCTCTTTTATATGCTGTTTAAAATGTAAGACAGATAATGTGTAATCAATTACGTTTTACTTCCATAAATGATTTTAAAATTATAAATTCATTAAATGAATTAAATTTAAAAAAAACTAAATTGAACTGATCACAGAAATTTTTGGCATTTCTTATATTATGTACGGACAAAGTTTCACAAAGAAAGCAATGTGATACAGTGTCAAGGTTAAGTACAATAACTAAGTTTTCAACCAATTACTGCATGATAAACGGATGCTTTTGAAACAACGTGGCATATCCTGTTCCTGCTTCATGTAATTTTTTAAGCGTTACTAAAAGGAAATTCTGTAAGACAAAATAGAATTGGAATAGATACAGGGGTAAGATTAAGTATAGCACTTTTATCACAATATTATTCAGCACGGACATGTACTTAATCAGAAGCGATCGTCTCTAATGAGGACCACAAGCCAGAAATAATCTCCATTAAATTCATTGTTGAGTAGAATGAGCTTTGTTGCCAAAATAACACACACGCCAATGCCAAAAGATTTCATTGTTTGAAACACCGACCCACTTCTTTCAAGTCATTACACAAAATTCTTTGTTGGCGCCGGCACGAGCTAGCATTTTTTTCTTCGCCTTTTTGTGGCAAGAATCGAATTCAAGTTCCGGAGACGAGTAAATACACGAGTCAAAAAGTAGTAGTACGCATGGAATAATATAAGAGAAAGAAGAATTTTCCTCCACCAGTTTATAAATAGTAGCAAATGCTGGAAGTATTATGAGTAGTCTTAGACACAAATCTCTTGTTTTTCCACTTACAGCAAAGTTTTCGCGACAGAGCTTTTGGCAATATTTCTAGAAAACAAAGAGGATAGAAGTTTGGTGAAAATCAGTTGATTCAAGGATGTTACTTTTAACGCTGTGATTGATGAATCGGATTGGGAAAAAAGTCTATAATAGCATGCCAAGGGCCATGTCAATTGAATCTAATTGCTTACCTCATCATTTACAATTATAGTAGTTGTTAAAGAGGCAAAACGTGTAAACTTTGTAATCACAGAAAAATTACCAAAATGTTGGTTTTATTTTTACGCATTTTAAGCATTCTAGATTAATGTGTAATTAATCTAGAATGCTTAAAACTCTTATATTTATCTACAAAAAAATCATGTCCAAATTACAAACAAACTGATAGATTTTTTACTACTTTCAAAGATCGTATGGAAAGAACATTAGAAAACGATGAGCAACAAAGGGGTTTTGTTAATATTGAGAAAACAGCAACAGATAACGAGCAGCCAAGGAGTTTTATGAGCGATGTCACTTCTTCAAGTAGTTTCAAGGCGATTGATCTGAAGGCTGTTAATTGTTTAAGGTAATAATTAACAATAGAGTTTTTGTTTTTGATGATATGGAAGTCCTCCCAGAAATCCAAGTTAATACATGAAATGTGTTTATGAAAGTCATGAGGTGAGAGAAAATCGAAAGTTACGAGAAATAGCCTTCTGTCCAGCAGTGTTTTGCAATTAATGAGCAGTGGAGTTCATGACGGAGTTTTGACGGTAATTTGAGTGCTCGCTTAGTTAGCCTTATGTAAGAAAGTTCTCATACTGATAAGAAATTTTGTAAATTTCTCAGCTATTGAAGCAATTAATGGATTGTTTGATGTTCGTTTGCTTGCCGTTTGGTGGAAAGATAATTTAGAATTCATGCTACGAATTTTTTTTTTTTTGATATTCGGAAGCTAATTTTCGGAAGAAACGGAAGTACAAATAAATTATTTATTTCAGATTTGACATATTAAAATTATGACGGTTTATGCATTTTTAAAAATATTAGCAATAATCTTGGGAGGGAAAAACTTTACCATGGTCGATGGCTTTAATGCAATTGATTTCACATTGTTATGCAACAGATGTTAAGAGTTTTAAAGACCAAGGTGGTTACATGGTGCAGTTTTTTAAACAGGTGGATGCTAAGAGGAATAGTTCTATGGAAGAGAAACAGTAAAGTGTTTCTAATACACTATGGTTTTAAAACTATCATCTTAACGGGTTATAAAAAGGTTAAAAAAATGAAGACTATTATTAGATTCTTATTCAGTTGTGAATTGTATGAATGGGTCGATAGAATTTAGAATGTCGAGATTGTAAATTCTACAGACCCATGTTCCTCATCGAATACATGGGAGCATATGGGTCTATGGAGTTCTCGATATCTATCCCACACCTAAACTTTTGAAATATGAAATGATGCTGCTAATAGAGAAAAAACTATTGTTATGAAAATGATCATCATTGGCAGAAACATAATGAAATAGTCTTTGAACATAAGTAATATACACTCTTGCAAATATTTCAGTTAGAATTATCTGACAACCTGCACAAAACATTATATATTTTTTCTATGAAACAGCGAAATCAGTAACTTAGTACAAACTTAGTAAATACATTTGAAACTTGAGGAGAAAAAATTAATTGGTTACCGGAGCAGAATGCAAAATGTTCATTCTTTAATTGATTTTCTTTTGTGATATTTGGTAAAATTTAATATGAATTTCAAGAGCCAGCTTTTTTAAAAGTCAAGCTGGGTAGGATATTTAAATTAATATCTGAAGTTAACAGTTGGTAAGCTGGAATCTCCTACTAGAATTTAATAAGAGAGGGTGGGCATCAAGAGCAAAACAGACTCATTGCTATCTAGACATGTGACATGTTTCCGGTGTAATATTTTAGCTGAATCGAAGGAAACTACGCCCAACTCTCTATATCTAATAGTTAAGAATTCAAATTTACATAATTATTCCAAAAGTTATAATAAAACTAATAGAAAAGAATATTTTTTTTTTGTAGAAGCAGATCAAATTCTGATTCGTACATATTTATGAGCCTGACATTACCGTCTAGGCAAATGAGGTATTAATTCCAATTGTTTTTAGCAATAGATAGGAACACTTCAGTTC